GTCAGACCACAAATATACCTCTCCCGGTGAACGCCCTTTCTCCTTCTGATTCCATGCTATTTCTGCACTCCATTATAACTATTGTAGTAAGTGTGGAACCTCATTATAATCCCATAAACATTTGCCTTTTTCCATATACAGCTTTATTGGTCCTGGTGTTTCGATCGTGCTCATTGCAGAAATAAGCCTAAGGCGTCTAATCGATCATGTACCTTCGCATTTCTAGTCTCGTCAAGAATGAGGTCGAGGAGCTCAGCATACCACTTCTGCCTTCGCGCTCAAACCTTCGAATTCGTCTCGAGAAGAAATATGTCAAAGTTGAACCGAATGACGAATTAACAGCCGCAGCCATTCGAGAGCTCACCAAAGGTTAGTTGTCCCCTGGAACCATCTTTGACAAGCCCTATAGGTGACTCCGAGGAAGCCATACCGGGAGCAGACTCATGTCCCGTGGTTGGATTACCAGAAAAGCGAAACGGTTCAGAGGCAGAGGAAGAGGAAGTCGACGAAGCCGATTACAGCACTGTTCCTATTGAGAAGTTTGGCCTGGCATTACTGAAGGGCATGGGCTTCAAAACGGAGACCCCCGGCCCGACATTGGAGTAAGTGTCCTGCTTCCTATAATATCATTTTTTCCTCAGTGACTTTGCATCCAAAGTTCGTCTCAAAGGCCTTGGTCTCGGTGCCGACCCAGCTGTCCTCAAGAAAGCCAGACAAGCGGAGAAGGCACCAGCTGGTGCTGACGACGAAAAACTTGAATGGAAAAGCGGTGCCCGGTGCCAGGTTATTTGGGGAAAATATGATGGCCAGTACGGCACAGTAAGTGAAAGTCTTCCTGATCTTATTAGGTTGAGCCCCTTCAGATTGTAGGATAATTGTCTGGTTTTGTTCCTGTCTTGTAGATCGAAGGCATGGATGGAGACACCGGTCGAGTAGTTATAAAGCTATCACTAACTAAGGAAATTCAGAGGATTATGCAGGCAGCCATTCGTCTTGTAACCCGAAAGGAGTTCGATAAATTCTCAAATTATTTGAGTACGTGCGCCTATTTAGTAACATTTAAAGTTGGCTACCATTGCTTGTTTAACCAACCAACATGCGTTTATTTTATAGTATCATGATGGCCCAATTTAGTATTACAGACTGTTTCTTTCACACT